GAAACTTTGTGCTTAATGCAGATTTTCTTTCTCCCTTTCATTTCCTATAAAAAGGCTGGGAGTTTTCACATTATCATTTCGCACGACTTCTTGGCTGTGAGCAAACGCTGGCAATTTAAAAGCTAAAGCACCAATTAGGGAATAGGCTTGTTGTGCAAGCAGCCTGTGATGGAATACAAGCCAGGATCGGGAGCCCTGGGACGTTGCGTCCTCCCCCGCCCCCCCCTCAACCCTCCGTCCCCCAGATTGCACTCCAGCTTAGCGACGCGTACCACCTAATGACGGCGAGGCCATTTTTTTCTAATACGTGGCGAGCCCCGCACCTCTGTGCAGTAATGTCTCCGTTTTACGAGGCCTCTCTCCTCTGCACACTCATTCCTCCGTCTGTAATCAGAGTAACAGATGAACGTGTCTGTGAGTAATATGTTATTCACTTTCCATTTAGCTTCAAATTCACTCTGGGCCATTTCTGTGGGGGTGTGTGTGTGCCTTTAATAAAGGTTATTCTGTCCATGTGCAGATATTTGAAAAGGCTCATACGTGATATGGCGCGACGCGGCGGCAGACGCTGACAGCTACACCCGCTCATTTTTCCACTGTGACATTTCAAACACAGACAAAACAACATGTGGATAAATGAGTCGACAGCACAAAGTGACAAATGCCAGTGTGAATAATCTAACAACGACAGACTTTCACGTTGTTCGCGGTGGTGCGCAGGCACACACGGTCATGAGTGTGTGTGTGTGTGTGAGTCTAAAACCACTACATTATGGTAAACAAAGACAAATGGGCCGTCAAAGTGAGCCTGAAGGAGAAAAAAAACACAGACAGTGTTCATGTTTTCTCCTCATCTCCTCTTCAGCCAACAGAAAATGGGAATATTTATGTCTCATTTGTAATTCTCCTACTGGAAACAACTGCGTGTCTGTGCATCAGGACTAAACAGGAGGTGAACCCTGTGATCACATCACTGACACCACTCCACTGATCAGAGCTGCACATGAGCAGACGAGCCCAGTTAACCCTGCGTGTTCACACTCCTCGACCTGCCTGAGGAGCAGCGGACTGCTGGAGGTTCTGGGAGCACAACTGCAGTACTGCAGTGTGTATTGGTATTTATCAGTGTTTGCAGTTGTTACACTTTTACTGAAGTCTCCTCTCGTCAGTGTTTTACTCGCCAAAGTACACTAAATAGAACTTTGAGTACTTTCTTTCAGTACCTATTTAAAGTGTTTTCCGCCTCCTTAAAATGTGCACACGTATGCAGGCATGAACATTTAGGGAGACCATTACCGTCTGACAGAGTCAGGTGCTCTAAAAGTAAAGTGATGATAAGACAAAAACACAGTGAAGAAAAAAAACAAACTCTGCATTCTCCTCCTGCTTCTGTCCTCTCCAGAAATAACATTTCTGATCTAATATTTTCTGCCTAATTTAATTTAGTTTGGACAACGGGGAAAAGCACGGAGTACTGCTGTGTACTGCTGTGTACTGCTGTGTACTGCTGTGTACTGCTGTGTGTATGAATGTAAGTCTGATCACTTCTGCTTGTATAAACATTTCCAGCAGAGAATTTATGCTTAAATCATGAGTTTAGCTTTGAAGCTAACCCGGCTGTGGAAATAAGCAGCAACAGACGTGGAGTAGAGTCGGACTCGGACTCCCGACCATCTTCAGTTCAATCATTTATCCACTGGAGAAAATAATCAACGTCTTCCAGCCTTGTTATTTTTTCTTTTTGTCTTTGATTCATCTACTGTTTCAAACTAAACACATACAAATACTATTCATGTGTGTACTCTCCACTCGTGTGTGTGTACTCTCCACTCGTGTGTGTACTCTCCTGGTGTGTGTACTCCAGTGTTAAAAGTAATCTCTCATTAATATTTTATAAAATGTCATCCATGTTTTATTTGCACTTTAATCATGTATTATTTACCAGTCGTTTACTTCTCTTTAACCAGTTGTTCATCATCAGGATCATGTGAGGAGCTTCAGCCAATCACAGGGCTGAACACAAGACTGATGACCGTTCACACTCACATCTATACACTTACACACACACAAACACACAAACATAGACAAAACAAAACTTGCAAACTCAATACAGAAAGATCAGGGGTTCGAACATGTGACCTTCTTGCTGTAAGGCACAAGCATTAACCGCCCGTCCACCGTACAGCTCTTTGTCTTATACATGTTAGTCCAGGGATTATAACCACTGTCCTAGCCCACGAGCCACAGGTTCAGACCCCTGTTGGTCAAAGTCATTTTGACAGTAACCTGGTAAATAAAGAGAGGGAAGAAATGAGGAAAACCTCATCCGTCTTCGTGTCCCTCCAGCTCTGGAGTCCAACAACGCAATTTCCTCACGTTAGCGCGTGGAGAAGGTTATTGTTTTGAAATACTTTTCCACCAACAGACCGGTTCAGTCGGGTTCTTAAAGTAATCTTTACTGCGACCTGAGGGCGAGTCCACCCCCCCCCCCCGGTGGTTCAGTGGTGTCTGTGCATTGAAAGACCACAACAAATAAACTATCTCCATGTCGTAAAAAAAAAACTTTTCTCTTCACTGTGTACACACGACAGATGCATGATGGGAAACTGGCAGCGTGTGCACATATCAGCTCATGTGCTTATCTGTGGGTTTGTCGATACGAAGCCAGAGAGAAGGTTCTGCTTTGACCCGTTCTCTGCCAAGTGGAATGACTCATCGTCTGTGTAACACACAGCAGATGGCGCTCAGACCGAGTCCTATCATATTTTTACATGCAGCCCTTCCTCCCACGCTCCTCACCCAGCACTGACTCACCCAAGTCAATTCTCCTGCTTACAAAACAACTATTTGGACTTTTCAGACTTTTATTTTGAAGGACGACTTGTCTGATTTAACTCTTTTTTATCTTTTTTATAAAACTCGTCACTCAGGTGACTGCGGCAGCTTTGACAAATTTTTTTTTTTTAATCCTTGACACATGTTGAGTAGAGAAGTTGGAGCAAACATGATTTTTTTGTTTAACCTTTTAAACCAAAATCTGTCAACATTTTTGCAGCTGTGAAGCAGGTTTTGATGGAGCGCCAAAAAAATGTGTCTTTTAAAAGTGAAAGTAAAAAAAAACAAAACAAAAACTAGAACATGAGTTCAGGTCCTGGTGTCAAAGTCACTCTGCAAAATTCTAAAAAGAAAGAATTCTCTGATGGAAACACAGCATGGACTCAGTCTGAGGGAATGTAGGAAACTCACTCTTTTTTTTTCAGTTTGTCTCAGAACTTTTCCTCTAACCCTCATATTAGTGTGAAACAGAACTCTCCTCAGCTGTCACCTCTTCATCATCATTCCGTCACAGTTCATCTGCATCTCTGTTAAATATGGCTCATTAAACTAATAGTTCTTTTCACTGATTTAACACCGTGACACCATCAGCAACAGCTTTATTTATGCTTCAGAACCCTAAACGTCTCACGAAGGGTTTGGTGGGTCTCCCTCTCTGACCGCTAGATGGTAGTATTGGAGCACTAGACGTGTTATCACAGTGCCATAGAACACCGTTCTGTTCAGCAGAGATGAAGATGACACGGTGAAGGAGTGCATTCATTATCCGTGAATGATGTGACAGTCTTAAAAACCACTGCACCAAATACAGCTTTTAATGCATTTCCCCTGAATGAGTCCTTTCTCACATCTGTTCTGCAGAAGAAGAAAAAGAAGGAGAATGAGGGGAAACCGTAGGGTCACTGCAGGAGTTCTGGGTCCATAACATGTGACGGCCACTGCTCTAGATGGACACGGTGGAACAGTGGTGAGTGCTCTGACTTTACATCTAAACCATCACCTGTTTGATTCCCAGTGGTCTTTCTGTATGAAGTTTACATGCCAGTGTGTTCCTGGTTCCTTGTGTGAATTCTTGATCGGTTCCAGGCTCTCCTCAGACCTGGTGGTCTGTGAGTCAGAGGGGACAGTGGAGACACAGGCGTGCAGCACTCCGCTGAGTGTCAGCCGTTTTGTTATCGGTTGCCGTATGATTTGAGTTGGCATCAGTTCCGGCCCTGCTGCGCTGTGGAACCGATCACCAGCACAGCTGTGATATTATCTCTTCTACCACAATGATTTCATCACAGTTTTACAAATTTTGAGTACAACATTACACCCCCTCTGAAAGACCCCCCCCCCCCCCCCCCCCTTCAGTCATTTTACTTTGTTTTAAATGGAAGCCAGCAGCCAGCATTGGAACCAATCAA